CCCCTCGTTCTTTCGGCTGAGACTCAAACACAGGAAATGAGGCAGCATGGACACGCTCTCTCCACTCAAACAGCATGCTGGGTAGAAAGAATAAGCCACTGACAACCCCAATATGACAGACAGCCCAATAAAATATCCCTGATCGTTATTGTTAATGGGCAGCGAGCGCGGTAGAGCGCTTCAGCCTGGAGTTCGCAAACATGTATCTCTCCCCCAGTTTTTATTATTATTATTATTATTATTATTATTAATAATAATAATAATTATTATTATTATTATTATAATGTTAATACTAATAATAATGGGAATAATAGAAATATACTGGGCGTTTGTAATTACGTCACATCATAATTATAATATACTTATATAACCATCAGTAGTGCAGGTTTAATTGAAAATGGTTTTAATATGAAATTATTATTATTATTCCTCGACTATCTGCGAAATGGATAGGTGGATTATTGTTATAGTATATAGTTCGTGTAGTGATATAAAATTTTCCATAAATTAAAATGACAAAATTACTCCGCGGATTCCTGCATTTGCATTCACGGCTTTGTCCGCGCGTGTGTGTCTGTAGGTGTAAGCATGTGCGGGATCATAGGCGTGGATAAACGCTCCGTCCACTTCTCCGCCCTCCCGGGAGTCACGTTTGAGGCGCGCCCCCTGGTGGCGGCAGAGAGCAAAGCTCTTGGGCCAGCTCGGTTGAAAACCAGTCAGGAAATACATGCGGTATGAAGAGTATTTGTATTATCATGCTTTTATTTTATTTTTGTATAAGTATATCTATAAACACACACACAGCATATAGAGCAGGATGTGCTCTGGAACGTTTATATGCTTCATGACGGCTTCACTGCACGGACCCACAGCTGGCTTTCTGAGTGACTTCTTGGGGCTTCATTTAGGGACCTGCCCCGTTGTCCGGGTCAGTGCAGTACTAGTGGTTATGACCAATTCTGCGGTCTTATGTGCTGATTGGGAGGACGACAGACTTGTGGGGGGGGTTGCAGAGGGTGAGTGTTGACAGCACAGCATAGCCGCGGAAGAGCCCCACCCAGATGGCCTGACTTTGTGCTGCCGGGGTTGGCTCACATCCGCCTGAGTGCATTATGGGTGTTTCCCCCACTTCCTTTATCAGCTTGGCCGGGAGTGACCCCCCTCATTGCTCCCCCCCCCCCTCCACACACACATACACTGTAATGCAAATATTCCCATCCTGACCTTTCTGCAAGCACTTCGTCACAAATGCATAAAATGCTGTTCAGCCCCCAACCTTTAATCTTATTAAGACTTTTCAAGGTTTTGTTCTGCAGCTGCAGATAAAAAACGGACCTTGTGTTTTCGTTTTATTTTATTTTCGTCCCAACTGGCCGAGGTCTCTGTCCCTGGCTGCCTCATCTAGCGCGAACTCCTGAAAAACTGGAAAGGACACCGGCTTGGTACCCAGCGTGGGGTAAGATGTGAGCTCAGGGGAGGGAAGACTGGGGAAGGGGGTGGGTGGGGGCTTGTGTGGCGTGCTCACGAGATGAACTGCTTTTCCTGATAAATTGAGGTCCGCATGCAGGTGGCACTGAAAAATTAGCTATTTAGGACGATGCAAAAATAAATTACAGGCAGGCAGTACTGTATACATGTGGTTAAGAAGGGAAACAGCCGCTGGCGGGGGTTTGAGCATGACGACTGCTTCCACTTGCAGGGTGACGTTCTGCAAGTGCATCATGGGGGCGGAGCCTCGTACACGACCAGGAAGAGCAGCCGACACAAGCAGTCAGACGTTAATAAAGAGGGCAGCTTTCTGTCATTGTGTCTCCTTCTCAGCATCCGGCCGCGGTGCACGTGGATGTCGGACGGGGGGGGGGGGGGGGGGGGGGGGGGGGGGGGGGGGGGGGGGGGGGGGGGGGGGGGGGGCGACGTACGGTAATGATAGCGGGCGCGATGAAGGCCGATGTCCCTTTTCCACTGTAACCCAGGCGACCTGAGTCATCATTTTTCTTGAAAAAGGAAAAAGAAAGAGAGAAAAGGAGATGGACTTGGGAGCCCCCCCCCCCCCCCCCCACACAGCATTACACACCTCTGATAAGCTCGGACCCACAGCAATTCAGCTTGGGCTGGACGTGCAGAGTCGCTGTCTTACTCCCCAGGTCTGTGACGTGAAACTTTTGTACTGCTGGCATTTTGTTGAACAAATCTGGTATTATGTAGCGGAGTGGGGGGTTTGGGGAGCGGGGGGTAGTCGTCGCCCCCTTCTTGGCCTCAGAGAGAGCTCCCCTGTCACATGCTGTTTTATCGTCACGCCCACCGCTACTGCCGCTCCCATCCCACGATGCCTTGCGGCCTTCTGGAGAATTCCCACAGACTGCTTCCTCCGTACAGGCAGGGCCCCTCTTGCAAAACTCTGCGGGATGATTCTCCTGGCGTCGATTTGCCCATAAACCCTGTTTCCTCACCCGAAACAACGTAATTTACTGTATAAGGTTTAAAAAAGGGAAAAAAAAAAAAAGTTCCCCTATAGTTGTGATGGAAAACACCCCAAAGCGTGCTAACAGACCGCCCCGCCCCTGAGGCCTAAACCTTGCGTTTGAGGGTCAGCCCCCTCCATTCTGCACTCCGGGTCGGAACACTATGCCTCTTGTTTTAACGACGTGTTGGGAAAACCACCGGGATGCCAACTCAAAATAACGCTTTATATTCTGCGTGACTTATGGCAGGGGGCCTCTCCCGGTGTGGTATTAAATGGGGAAGAGGAGGTCCTCTCGGCCGATTTACCCTGTGGTGACAATGGGGAACCAAAAGTATTACACGGCTGTGGCCTTCACCCCCCCCATCAGCTGATATCAAACGCTGCACTGGGGAGGAGAACCAGAGCTCAGCCGTAACGCTTCTGACCGGAGAAATGCTTCTTGCTTTGAATTCTCCAGCACTGTGTGTGAGAGAACCTCCTACCCCAGAAAAGAGCAGCACAGCACAGGCACAAGAACGGCTGCTACCTGCTCGGTACTGAATGTGCAGCCAGATGCTTGATCTGTAAAGACGGCATCGCGGGGTGATCTCTGGACAGCTACGAAAAGGCCCCACAACTTGCACAAGGATGCCCAGGAAATGGGTCTTAAAGTACACAGAGAAAGGGCTTATAATCTGAAGGAATCTATTTCCCCATTTTGGTATTTTGATATCATACACAAGAGAACAGCAGAATGGCATTATGGGACATAGAAATTCAGCATCTGCCCTAGAAGGCCAGCTGCAAGAAAAATCAGTGCATTAAGACACGAAGAGCACAAAGAGACTAAAAGATGGTAAAGATCCATAATTATATACCCATATAGTCAGAAGTGAGGGTTTTCTTATAATCAGCTTCAGCTATATGATGCATGTGGCGAAACACTAAGGTGAAAAATTGTTTTCGTATACAGACTTTCCTTGGGTTACGATGGGGTTACGTTCCGATAAACCTGTCGTAAGGAGAAAAAATTCCATACCGACCCTAACAAACATCATAGCCTAGCCTAGCCTAACTTAAACCTGCTTAGAACACTTACATTAGCCTACAGCTGGACAAAACCATTAACACAAAGGGAGAATATTTTATTAAATAAGGTATAATGAACTGAAAATGAAAACCATCGTAAGACAAGTGTATGTGTATATATATATACAGTATATGTGTGTACATATATATATATATATAAATGTGTGTGTGTGTATATATATATATGCATATATATATATATATATGTGTGTGTGTGTGTGTGTATATATATATATATATATATATATATAGAGAGAGAGAGAGAGGGAGAGAGTGTTATGGTCATTGGCAGCAAGGCTGCACAGGCCTTAAGGAAATGTATAATACATACATATATGTGTATATATGTATGTATGTGTGTGGGCATATGTAAATATATATACATATACAAGCACACACACAGAAATTTGCATAGAAAATTGCCATCTATTCTATTTGCCATCTCAAACCTTATTTGGCACATAAGCATCTGCAGGAGAGCATGTGCACAGGGGAGTAGGAGATGGATAATGTGAGTGGAACAGTGTGTCCTTGTGGATGGCGTGTCACCTGTGGAAGGGGCAGCTCACGCGCATCCAGTGGACTGGGAGTCGAGGCCGCATTCGGCCCCACGATGAAACGAGGGAGATTCTGGACCGAGGGCGCGGAAGATTCCGGGACGCTTGTCGTCGGTGGTGCGCCTGTCCGCCTTTGCTCTCGAACCTCCGAGGCCCAGGGGCGAACCAGCCAGAAATACCCCCGAGTGTACCTCGGGGGGGGGGGGGGTGTGGCAGACAGCGGGAGCTGAGGCACCCCTGCATGGCAGAGTCAGTAGGGGTTGGACGTTAGTCGTCCAATAGAGTTATGGTCACTGGCAGTGAGCTGCAGAAGCCTTAAGGAAAATAAACGCGGATTGTCACAATTCAGCTCTGGTATGGCACATTAAAAATAACTACCCAGCTAGGAAATTTACACCTTCCAATGTTTCCATGACAGTGAACACAGGGGGTAGAAGCTAGTGCAGCACAGCTTGGTAGGGCAGTCTTGAACGGACCGTACCTACAAAGCCTAGTAGGGTTCGGTAGCTACCCAACACTTGTCAAGGCAGGTCAGGCTGGGACATGAGGCAGAAACGCTGTCACAGCGGTTAATTTCTCTCGCATTTATGGGGCGGATAGACAACGGACACGTGAGTCGGTTTCTGCAAGCTGTCGGATTCATGGATTAACCTTCACGAGCTCCCGTTTTTAACCAGCTAGTAATCCTCGCCTTGCAGTCGGAGACGGCACAGCGGCGACTAGAACTCTGGTGTCGACAAACGCGATAATTTCTTTGACGAAGCAGTGCTTCCCGTCCTTCTGATAATCTGCCCGAGACAAAGAATCGAGCGTAGGAGGCAGAGACGCGGGCGGATAGTCAGGCAGCGCTGCGAGCCAGCTTCGACCAACCCACAGCCAGA